ATATATATATATATATATATATATATATATATATATATATATATATATTTTTTTTTTTTTTTTTTTTTTAATAAAATATAAAAAAAAAACATTAGAATGACATTAGTGACTTGTGTACTTAAATTATCCCAGTTGTTTGAAGAACACTGGACAGGATAATATCATAACTTTATAATGCATGTATTTTGCATTTGACCTAGGGTGCTTTCACAAAACTTTCACAAGTTAAGAAATATTTACAAAACAATGCTCCCTTATTGACAAAATAAGTTCAAAATAAGAAAATTCGGTAACACTCTATAATAACTACACACTATGAACCATTTATTGGGCATTAACAAATAATGAATGCATTGTCTGTTAAGCATTAACTCAACATTAATAAACATTAGTAAGAAGTTTATAACTGCAGCCACAAATTCTGTATTCTTGACTAATAGCCACATTGTACTAAATAATTGTACTTTCATACTTTGTTAATGATTTATTTTTCATTACTAAATGAAGTATTGCATTATTTACAAAATAGTTATTTAAGCATAGTTGGTTGTTTTTTAAGATCATTTAGAATGAGTCAGTAAATTATTAAAAAACTATTCAAGGTAACGTTTATAATTCTTATTATTCAGGCATTTACTAAAAGTTAATTTGTATGTTAAAAAGTGCTTTATTAACTTAATTTCATGCAGTTTTGCGACCTAATCTAAAATGAGGACTTTTTATGTGTTATAAATCCTTTAGAAATGGCAATTAAAGGGTCAGTTAAATTCTAAACAGGAAAAATTAACATAAACAACATTATATATTGCTATTCGTTTGAAGATACATAAATGAAACTGTATCAAATGAGGGTCCCACTTTACATTGTCGCTTATACCTGTGAACTTACATGGTAACTAGATGTGTAAGTAGTATGTAACTACAGTATATGTACACACTGGTACATAGTAATTACTTGTGTAATATTGGTGTAACTACACACATGTAACAGCCCACTGAATAGTATGTGTAAGTACAAATGTGTAACAGGACATTGGTAACAACACTAAGAAAGTACACATCTGTAACAAGAATTATGTAAGTGCATTGTGTAACAACAGTATGTACTTGCAGGTGTTTTCTCACTTCCACACCTGTTTGCATACCATGTACTTGTGAACATTGTATGACAGAAATAAAGCTTCATTAGAAGGTCTCACATTGTGATACCAGTGTAATTACAGGGTAAATCCACATAAACTGTCCACTCAATATAAAGTGTAAAATAGTCACAAATTACTCTTTAACTTGTAAAATATTCTCTGTGCAACACTTTATTAACAGTGTACTTATATGGTAACCCCACAGGAACTGTCCACTCAATATAAAGTGTAAAATAGTCACAAATTACTCTGTAACTTGTAAAATATCCTCTGTGCAACACTTTATTAACAGTTTACTTACATGGTAACCCCAAAGGAACTGTCCACTCAATATAAAGTGTAAAATAGTCACAAAATACTGTGTAACTTGTAAAATATTCTCTGTGCAACACTTTATTAACAGTGTACTTATATGGTAACCCCACGGGAACTGTCCACTCAATATAGTGTAAAATAGTCACAAATTACTCTGTAACTTGTAAAATATTCTCTGTGCAACACTTTATTAACAGTGTACTTACATGGTAACCCCAAAGGAACTGTCTACTCAATATAAAGTGTAAAATAGTCACAAAATACTCTGTAACTTGTAAAATATTCTCTGTGCAACACTTTATTAACAGTGTACTTATATGGTAACCCCACAGGAACTGTCCACTCAATATAAAGTGTAAAATAGTCACAAAATACTCTGAAACTTGTAAAATATCCTCTGTGCAACACTTTATTAACAGTGTACTTACATGGTAACTCCACAGGAACTGTCCACTCAATATAAAGTGTAAAATAGTCACAAATTACTCTTTAACTTGTAAAATATCCTCTGTGCAACACTTTATTAACAGTGTACTTACATGGTAACCCCACAGGAACTGTCCACTCAATATAAAGTGTAAGATAGTCACAAATTACTCTTTAACTTGTAAAATATCCTCTGTGCAACACTTTATTAACAGTGTACTTACATGGTAACCCCACAGGAACTATCCACTCAATTTAAAGTGTAAAATGGTCACAAAATACTCTGTAACTTGTAAAATATCTTCTATGCAACACTTATTAACAGTGTACTTACATGGAAACTCCACAGGAACTATCCACTCATCATAAAGTGTAAATTTGTCACAAATTACTATGTAATATATAAAACATAATCCTCCGTGCAACTGCCTAACAACAGTGTACCTACATGGAAACTCCTCAGAAACCGTCCACCCAATGTGTACATACTGTATGTAAATAAAGTGTAAACATTTTTTTTTAAAAGTGTACTTACAAAATGGTCACAAACTACTGTGTAATATAAATCCAAATCAAACACATTAACAATGTACTGACATGGTAACTTCTCATGAACTGTCCTTTCATGTCCTCATATAACTGTAGCAAGGGAAAATGCATGGTGAATCCAAAGGAATAGTATATTTAATATGTAGTGTAACTTTATTGCATTGCAGTTCCAATGTTCTAGCAAAGTAACAGAATATTGTAATTTACACTGTAAAGTCAGATTGTTCAACAGAGTGCCAGCAATCACAAAAGCAAAATTTAAAAGAGCAATAAAGAAAACAATCAGTGCTGTAAATAATATCCCAGGATATATTAAATCAAAACTGTCACATTCGTATTTGATTTTTACTCTGCAACATAGTATTTTACACAAGTATTTTGAGTAAGCTATGAATGTATTAAAACAAGTTAATTGTTTGTATTATCAGGAAATTTTAGAATCTGAAGAAATGTCACAATATAAACAGCAAATAAAAGAGAAAAAAATGGTATATATATTTTCAATGAACCCGGTATGCTTTTCTAATGTCATGGATCAGCTGTGCTAAGGCAACTTTGCTATTTCGCCTTCCCAGCCAGTAGTGCCACTGAATGAATTTCAAATGTTCTCTTAATAGTTTTGTAGTCTTGTTACCCCTTAATCTTGATACCTGTGCCTTGATGGCAAGCCAAGCCCTTTCAATATGTTGTGTGTGACAGCCAGTTCGGGGATCAACAAAATTTTCACTGTGATTAACAGTTAGGTGTCTGTATCGTAAAGGTTGTAATGCATTCAGATATGCCCTCCAATTGTCACTGTAAACAGTTAACCCCCTTCTGATGTGCCTTGTGATGATGGGCACCAGTGTGGTCCTGGAACGGTCCTTTACCATCTTTAAGACTGGTAGGCGGCGATCTCCTTTAACTTCCATCATCCCAAAAACCCATCCTTTTCTTCTCTGCCAACTAGTACAAAAGCGGCCACGATTAAACAGAAAAGCAATGAACACAAGAAACAACAGAAATTGTAAGAGCAGTAAAATCTCCCAATGACTGACCATAGTTATTTTTCACCATGCATCTATCTCAATTAACTTAAAAAGCAGTTTAATAATCATCGGAATAATTTTTAAACCAATTGGTCTATACCTAGTTCTTTAGTCTGAGGACAGAACGGCACACTGCTGCTGCTAAATGGCCACTAACTTGTGTGGTGCCATTGTGTCTTCATCAATGCATAAAATAGAATTTAAAAAATGCAAGTGTCTGCAGTTATTTAGTACACCTTTAATTTCAACCTGATAAATAAATTACTAGTCAGTCCAAAGTTTGTTTAAATTTCAAAATGAAATTGTCTAAATTTCTTAAAATATTATGTATAATGTGTAACTCTTGAGTTAGGTATAATAATCTAACGTTTTGAAATTAATATTTAGGTATACATTTCAGGTTATTGTCTATTAAATATTAAATAAAAACTGTAAGAACAGATGATTTGCAGAGGGTAATAAAACATGGTGCACACTCAAAAGTGAAATCATAAAATTCACATTAACACATTCAAATCTATGTCATTGTTTTTCACATTGACATCAGCTTCCTCATATGTGTAGATTGAAGGACTACACAAATATCATTATAGACATTACTTCCTGGAGACACAGGAAAATAGTGAAATCTGTAATTATTGGGTACAATCACATGATGTCCTAAATGAAGAAATTTACATTAAAACCGCAAGGGTCACCCCACTGACATCAGAACATACAAGAATTTGCATTTATATATAAAAATCATATCCATGCATTTGATTACATGTGCTATTTTGATGTACTTTAATGTTAACTCTGGAAGTATTGCTGAATACAGGTTAACGTTCGAGGTTACAGAAGTAACCCTTCGTTCCCCGAGGAGGGTAACGGAAGTGCCATAAAGTGGATGAAATCCACGAATGGGAGGATTCGGATCAGAAGCCGCTTGTCTGGAGAGTATTGAACGGGCCAATGAATGAAATTAATT